GGTTCTACTCGGTTTTTTCATCCTCATAGGCTCATGCACACTGTTATTTCCATAAGTAATATTAGTACTTTACTATGGGATAATTTCAGGCCTTATTGGAAGCTATGGAGCAACAGTGTGTATCTGTTGCAAAGGCAGGACTTGTGGCAAGTTTATCAGCAAGAACATCTATTTTAGCAGCTGCAAACCCTGTTGGGGGTCATTATGAGTATTGTTAATTAACTAGTCTTTGATTAGTAGTTATTTGAAAATTTAGATATGCAGTGTTTTTTTGCCAGTAGCTTTATTGACTGCACGAGTGATTATGGGTTTGTTTTTAATACTTTGAAATTATAGTGATGATATCTATCCCCTACCATAACAGTGGCTCGTGCTTAATAAATAATATGAAGTGAACAAATAATCAACAGAAAAAATTCTAAATGTCTAATCACATTATTCTTCTATAGTTTTATCACATTTTCAACATGCTCTTTTGGCTTTCATTTTAAACATATTTTCAATACATAATAAGGGGCCCTAAAGGTTTTTTTGGCATTGATATTACTCGAATTTCTATTGCAGCCGTACAAAAACTGTAAATGAGAACCTGAAAATGAGTAGTGCTTTACTCTCGAGATTCGATTTGGTTTTTATATTACTTGACAAGCCCGATGAGCTACTGGATAAGCGGCTGTCGAAGCACATCATGTCTGTGAGTCATTCTCTCCACTTTGTGCTAGTATATGATAGAACTATTTTTTGACCACTAACATTATTACTCCAAATCCGTGTGATTTGTTCATGCATAATTATAGGTTGAATGAAATACCCATTTCTGAATGGATATTTACACAATACAATATAAAATATATAGGCTAAAGATCTATGATAAATATGGAAATACAATCTCTAAGAAAGGAAAACAAATTCTAGCCTTAATGATGCAATTTTAGTTAGAAATATTATATACAGTTTTAATTAGAAATATATCCTATTCTTGTCAACAGTAAAATTTTGTAGTGTCAATTTCCTCAATCTTTTCTAGATTTAGAAGGAATTAACCTTTGAAATAATCAAATAAACATATCCAACCTTGATTCCCAGTAAAATGAATATGAATATGGAAGAACATGACATTATAAAAGAGCACCTTTCTTTCTGAACTGTTTATTCAAAATACACCTCCATATATTACTTTAAGTGTTAGGTTATTGTTGCTTGTAGCCTAAGGTATAGTATTTACTCCGTATCTAACAACATTTTCAACTTTACTACCCTTTTATGACATGCACCACAAAGTGATGACTTAATAGGCAGTGTGAACATATAATTGGCAATGATGTATTGCCAGTGATGTGAATAGTTGATGCACGATTTCAGTGATGTGGATGTAGTAAGGGTTTCTCACTACTAGCTTGCAAGCAGTTGGCATTTAGTACAATACATTTTGCATTTCTTGTTTATTTCGGGATGTTTGCTTAGAATTTGTTGAGAAGAGTGCTATCATTTGCCAGATCCATTTTTAATTATCATTGTATTTTCTTAATGTTAATGCAAATCCACTTACCACCCCCTTATAATCAGAAGCATGTGTGAATTAAACTTTCTTTTGCAGCTTCATGCAAAAACTCCAGAACATCCACCTGTGACAAAGCGATTATGTACAGGTAAGGCCTTTTATACGATTCCTGTTAGTATGAGATCATTTTAATATGAGGATTTCATTATTTTGCATCTTTATTACACTGCAGCACCTTTTGATGTCAGGGGAAGTAGCCTGAATGTAGAGCACAATTCTTTAACTGCAAGACTCAAGCTCGACCCAAATAAAGACAGGGGTTTTGTTCCATTACCTGGTCCTCTTCTGCGTAAATACATTGCCTATGCAAAAGCTTATGTCTTTCCAAGGTAGTCTAGCACCTTTTCTTAAATTAGGAAAAATTGGGGACTTCTACTTCATTGATTTGCTTTCTTTATACTGGGTAAGGATGACCGAGCCTGCGGCAGCCATCTTGAAGAAGTTTTACCTGCAGCTGAGAGATCGTAACACATCTGCTGATAGTACACCAATAACTGCTAGGCAATTAGAAAGTCTGGTAAGGTTGGCTCAAGCTCGAGCTAAGGTTGATCTAAGAGAGCAAATAACGGAGCAAGATGCTTTGGTGAGTTCCACCATCACAGCAGTAGATGCCGTCCTCCATGGCTCCATTCTCCAAATACAGTCAGCTACATATTAATGTTCATATTTCATAATTGAGTAATTTAGTTATGCAGCATTTAAGATTTTGGCATTATCACTTAATCCTGGCTATCCATGTCTATTATACCAGTGCCTTCTGTAATCTGTATCTTAAATTCTTACGGTTCAGGATGTTGTTGAAATAATGAAGGAGTCCTTGTATGATAAGTATGTTGATGAGCATGGTTTTGTGGATTTTGGGCGAAGTGGAGGAATGAGTAAAGAAAAAGAGAAGAAGAGATTTTTGGGCGCATTAAATAAGCAGTCAGAAGTGCAGCAAAAGGACTGCTTTTCAATATCTGTAAGCCTCTGCACACAACAATTAGTTTCCCAAATCAACCTTCGTTTTAAAAAAATCAATTGTGCTTCATAAAGTATACCTCACGTGCTCTTCATTCCCCTATTCAGGAGTTATACAGTTTGGCAGATAACATAGGCTTGAGGGTTCCAGATATCGATACGTTTCTGGATACCCTTAACACTGCAGGCTATTTACTAAAGAAGGGCCCAAAGAAATATCAGGTACGCCTTTTACCAATTCAACTACTTTTAAGTATTTAACCCATCACTAAACTTTTGCCATTCAGATTAAACTAATACAGAGTATTTATTAAGAATACTAGCTGAACTCTATCCCTGCTAGCCAAGTGGAAAACGTAACAAAAATGATAGTTTGTATATAATGCAGGTGCTATCATCATCTTATTCAAGAAGTCAATCATCAAGGGGATAGTTTTGCAGCAATGGTTATATACATTAAAAATCTTCCCCTTGCAATATTTCCTTCTCTCTCTCATCACTCTGCTCCTATTTTATTGAACAATTATCTCTTTTTGACCACTCCCAAGTCCTAAAACATAGAAGGATTATAAGCTATAAATTTCCCAGTCTGTATTTATGCCCCACTTAACCGGTCTTGAAAGTATATATAAATAGTATATTCTTCATTATTTATGATTTTTTTTATGAAAACGGATTTTTCCAATGTTAATCAATCAATCATCATTTAACCCAGTGCCGCAAAGGCTCCCACCTACAGTGGGGTAGGGGGGGGGGGGGTCGGATGTACGCAGTCTTACCCCTGTACTAAAGCACAGAGAGACTGTTTCCCGATGACCCATAGTGAGAATTGTGACCAAAATTACATGGACTGACCGCTGCTTCATAACAAAGAAGCGCAGATAGTTAGGTGAGCCATTTTGCTTTATCCCATCTTATTCTCAAGCCAAAAAATAATGAAAACGGATTTTTCCAATGTATAAAATAAAAATTCCAATGGCTTTTGCGACTATAACCTTTCCAGCCACAATTTTTTTTAGTGATTTGACTACCAAACAAAAATAAAAAAGACATAAGAAAGTTTCAATGTATCTATAACTACTTTCAAAACATTGCAGGTTATTTTGGTTGGCTATGTAATTTCACAGATAAGCTCCCGTTTTGTCAAATTCCCAGCCTGCCTAATAGCCACATGCATGCGCAGATTTTATATTTTGTAAGAGTGTTAATATATAATTTAATGTTGACTTTCAGACGGGGAATTCAAGGACTGGTTATATATATATTCAATATGATACATTCATGTGTTATGAAACAATCTCATGGATATATTTTTTTCCATAACACTATTCTGACTTCATGTGTCTATGAAGTCAGGATCACTATATTCTTGTTCAGAAGCAGAATCAAGGCGCCATTCACTTCCATAGTACGAATTAGGCAATCCCAACCAAAACTTGAAAGCTTCTGCTGCTCTTTTCTTATCTTTCCTTCGTTCTTGCCTGGCTCTTGAAGCATGCTTGCTTGTAAACATTCTTGAATGCATCTCCACATAGATCCTTTTATACTTTGTCTTGTTTGGAGATATACCATTCTCCTCCATGCAAGCTATTATCTCCAACGCTTTCCTAAAAAAACGCTGCCCTGACACATATATCAGCCAGTGTCACCAAGAGTCCTTCGTCGGGTTTCAGTGGCGGGAGGGCAGCTGAAGAAGTATCTGGTTTTATTGTTCCTGTGTCAACCCCACATCTTTCCTTTATTTCACTCCACAGTAGTAATGCTTCTCCTGGTTTCCTAGCTAGTTGAATCCCATTAGCTAAACTCCCATATGTAGCCACATTTGGAAAAGTCCCAGTCTCTTTCATCTTCTGAATTATGGTTTTAGCCTCCTCGACCTTCCCCAACTTACAATAACCCTCAACCAACATGTTCCAAGCCACCAAATCGACCTTGATCCCAGGATCCTTTACCATCTCATCAAACACCTTGTTAGCTAGCTTCGGCTGGCCAGACAAAGCAAAAGCTTTCATCAATGTCGTGTAACTGATTTTATTAGGGGTGATACCTCTTGCTCGCATCTCATTGAAGTACAAAAGCGCCCTGGCACTATCATCAACCAATATGCACCCATCAATCAAAGTGTTATAAGAAACCACATCCGGTTCTATCCCCTCACCATTTACCATCTCCTTCATCAGTTCTTCAGCCCTATCTATCTGCAATTTCTGACAATACCCTTTAATGAGAATGTTGTACGTGATACTGTTGGCAGGAACTCTGAATCTGAACATCTCATTTAGGACTTCTCGTGCTTGGTCCATTGATCCTTGTTCCACAAATGTGGATATTACAGTCGTGTAGGTCACATGGTCAGGTTGGCTTTCCATGTCCTCCTGATGCTTCATTGCTTGGAGCATTCTTACTGTATCTGTAACTCGGCCCACCTTCATATAACCTTTCATCAAAGTAGTATACATCCTTGAATTGGGTTCAAACACATGAGGTAACTCTGGTGGCTCTTTGTCTCTTGAGTTCAAACAATTTGGAAGCAACTCTTTGAATACATCACTCTCATTTAGGACCGGTTCTGTTTGCCTGAAAAATGTGATACAATTTGAATTTCTTAAGATTTGATCAAAACCTTTGTGGTGTAGTCTTATTATTTTGGTGTGATGCGGTGTAGTCAGTTATAATATGAACATTTCTAATCCTACCTAGAATAAATATCTGGTCTGGTTTGGCCTGGTCTAAGGGAGTGTTTACAATTGCTTCAACTTTAAAAAAGTGATTTTTTAAAGTGATTTTGGGAAAAGTGATTAATAGAAAAAGTGAGAAGCTTTTACCTGTTTCAAACTTTTAGCTTTTAACAGTTTAAAACACCCTTCTACCTGCTTCAAGCTTTTAGCTTTTAAGTGATTAATTAATTTAAGCAGAAGCTGTCATTTGAAAACACTCTTTTCAACTTTTTTAAGTCAAAAGCTAAAAAACGCTTTTTCAAAGCAATCCCAAACACTCCTTAAGTCTTTTGGTTTGATTGTCATAAGCTCAAAAAACAAGTTTAAGAGAACAAACCTTGGACCTATCTCTTTCAAAGTTGAATCCCTTAGAATCTTGCAGAGATCTCTCCTCCCTTCTCTCAAGGCCTGAACAATTTTTTCGGCTGATTCCAAATCACCAAAACCAACATAAGCCGCCACAAGGGATTGAAGTGTCGTCATACACAAAGGTATTTTCTTTTCAATTATTCTCTCCAACACAAACACTAGCAACTCTTTCCTATCAGCTCTAGCACAAAGCTTCATCATCACATTGTATGTCAAAACATCTGGTTCACAACCAAACTCACTCATCCCTTCAAACAGTTGCAAGAATTTCCCAGTGTCACCAATGTTAGCACAGGCATTCAGCACAGCATTGTAAGAAGCAGTGTCTGGCCTGGAATCTTTAATCAGATTGGGGTCCGAGATCCGTTGGACCCTTTTGGTGATCAAGTCAAATAAAGTCAAGGCCTCAGTCGGGCCATCATCACCCGAGCTGGAAAGTCGGCTGATGACGGCGCTCCAGGCCTTGACATGCGGAAGGTATCCGGATTTGAGCATAGACTTGATGATGGAGGTGGCATATAGGACCTGACCGGATTTAGCTGCGGCAACGGCGAGGAGGCCGAGGGAGTTGCAGTCAAGGAGGTGGAGCCGGTTGTCATGGTAGAGACGACGGACGATGGACTGGGCGCGCGTGAGGCCGTCGTGGGTTTTCTGGTAGGATAGTTGAGAGACTAAACGGCTAAGGCAAGTGGAGTTGGGAAGTTGGTCGGATCCGGTGTAAGCCAACCAGGCCTCTTCGGTTTTCCTCTGCTGGAGAAGGGTGAGAAGAGATGTAGTAGTAGTTGTTACAGTTGTATTGGAGGTTCTAGAATGTGATGATTGTGTAACTTTCGTTCTGCTAGCTGCAGAGGTGATCGTGGGGTTGGCTGAACCAGGCGACGGTGGGTAAATCCGGCGGGGTGAGAATCTACGGGTTGTTGACAAAAATGAGGAGAAGTCGGAGGGAGGTCTTGCCGTGTTCATGGCCGCTCCATCTGGGTCGTGTGGCCTGTGTGTGGAAGACAGTCGTTGCTTATGTTATCCACTGCAAATTTTGGGACGAGAGGGAGTTGGATACAGATTCGGGGATAAGATTTTGTACAGTAATCCCATTTTTTTAATGTTCTGAAATACAAGTAAAAATGTTCTGAAATTATAAAATAAGATTGTCGTGTTTTTATTCTCCACATAGGAGTATTTTTTTTCTAAATTTGGCATTACTAGGTTTTAGACATAACAATTGTACCAAACTTGTTAAAAATTAAATCTATTTAGAGAATAAAAACATGAAAGTCCTATTTTGAAATTTCAAAACATTTTTACTCTTATTCAAGACAATTTCTATTTTTTTAAATTAGGAGTGTTTAAATTTGCTTCTTAAAACTGCACTTCTGTTTTTTCACGGAGCGGAAGCAGATATTTGAGTGCTTGAGTGAAGGTGTAGAAGTATTTTTGTGTGCTATAAATTGCTCATAGAAGCTGTGTTTAGAAGTTAGAGAGATTAGCATCTGGAAAACTACTTTTGATCATGTTTTTTGCTTTTTTAAAAAGTAGAATCAATTCCAAAAACTCTTTTATTTGTCAAAAGCTTGACTTTTGCGTCGAGTATGTTTTGAGTTGGGGGTGGTGGTTGGGTTGTGCCTGGGAGTGAAGGGTGGCTGGGCTGGTGGGTTTGGGCCTTTGGGGAATTGATTAAGGCTTTGACTCCTGTGAGTTGTGGACCATGGTGGGAAGAGGTCACTAGCTGGTGTCATCATCATCGAGTAGCTAATTTATGTGATTACTATTGAATTGAATATCTTATAAAAAAATCTTTTCACGTTGTTCAATCTTCTCATTCATTTCGTGTGCACTTTTCTTCACCCAAATTCTTTTATTCTAGTAATTAGTGGTGGACTGGTTCCAGGCCGACCGGCCCGTGGTTTGGCCCGACACTGTTTGGAACCGGCCCGGCCATAGACCGGTCCGGGTAGGCCCGCCCGGGGGTTATACGGGTCGGTCTCGGGTCACCCAAAATAGGAACCGGTCCAACTCGGGCTTTTTTTCCAGTATTTTTTTATTTCCCGGGTTGGGCTGGGTGTTTTGGGGGGGTTTGGGGGTGGGGGGTGAGGGGGGGACCGGGGGTTAATTAGAAAAAAAAATTGAAGAAGCCCGGGGACCGGACCGGCCCGGACCTGGTGGAAACCCGGGCCGGTTCCGGGCCTGAAGCCAAACCCAAAAAGGCTGCCCAGGACTGGCCCGGAGCCCGGGACCTGTCCATGCCTACTAGTAATCGATTTTTTATAACTATTTGTAAATCTTGATTGTCTTATCGTTCTTGTTGATATAAACTTCTTGATTTCGAGATATAATGGAACGTGTAGTAGGAAAGAGGTTTCGTTGAACTTCAATGCATTGATTTAGTTCTCACTTAAAATAACAGAAAAAAACTATTTATAAAAAAGATTTGCATAAATTTTAGGGATGTTGTACTATTTATTTTTTTTTTAAAATACATTCCGCTATAAAGAATTGATTTATGAATTAGCCACTAGAGAGATAAAAACTCATTCCTTTTGATGTTGCATTGGTTTTAAATAATGAAAATTATTTCATTTTTTCCCCTCTTTCATAAATGTTTTGTATAGTTCCCTTCTGAGTTTGACACAATTTCATGTGATTCCCTAAACACAATAAAAACCCTTTCATGAACGCCCTCTACCTCTTTTAGTAGTACAGCACTCACAGCCAGGTCTGCTACTGCCAGGTACATGTATAATTGCTCCCCTGGGTCCGCTTTGGTGAGGACGAGCGGAGAGGAGAGGTATGCTTTGAAATCTTCAAAGGCCGCCTGGCAATCCGGAGTCCACTCAAAAGGATTTGCCTTCTTCATGATCTGAAAGAAGGGGATCGTCTTGTCCGCTAGTTTGGACATGAATCGGCTCAGGGCTGCCAGCCGTCCGGTGAGCCGCTGTACGTCCTTCAGGCTCTTCGGGGCTTCCATGTCAACTACTGCCTTCACCTTCTCCGGGTTGGGCTCGATCCCTCGCTCGCTCATCATGTAGCCGAGGAACTTGCCTCCCTTGACGGCAAAGACACATTTTTTCGGATTGAGCTTCATGCTAGCCCTTTCCATGATAGTGAAGACCCTCTCCATATCTCGGATGTGGTCTTCTTTCTTCTTGCTCTTGATCAGGATGTCGTCCATGTAAGCTTCCATGGTCTTGCCGAGCACGTCTTTGAACAGCATTCTGATCATCCTCTGGAAAGTCGCCATGGCGTTCCTCAGGCCGAACGACATGACTATGTAACAATACACGCCGTCCGTTGTGACGAACGCCGTTTTCTCCGCATCGTCCGGGTGCATAAACACCTGGTGGTATCCTCTGAATGCGTCCATGAAGCTCAGCAGCTCGCAGCCTGCCGTCTCGTTCACCAGTAGGTCGATCCTCGGCACTGGATATGGATCCATTGGGCACGCCTTGTTGAGGTCCGAGTAATCGACGCACATCCGCCATGTGTCGCCCTTCGGGGCCAATACCACATTGGCCATCCACTCTACGTGGATGACTAACCGGATGTGCTTGATGCTAAGGAGCGTTGCAGCCTCCTTTTTGATGAAGTCTCGCCGATCAGCCGCCATGTATCTCTTCTTTTGTTGGACGGGCTTGGCATCCGGCCGCACGGCGAGTCTGTGACATATGAGGTTGTGGTCAATGCCTGGCATGTCCTCTGGCCCTTTGGCAAATAGGATTTTGAACTTCCGAAGGACGGCTATGACCCCCTCCTTGATCTCAGGTTCGAGGTCAGCGCCTATGGATACCTTCCTGTCCGAAGGGTCATCCAGTTCCACCTCCTCGAGCAAGGCAGCTGGCTCCAGTCGAGCGTCGAAATCGGCCTGTCTGGCCTTTTCGGAGATGCTGTTGACCCGGGCTTCCCGCTCGCTGAACCTCTCCATGGCCTTGATGTAGCAGGCCCTGGCCATGTGCGGGTCCGTGCGGGCCACTCCCACTCCAGTCTCGGTGGGGAATTTGATGCATGAGTGCTGCACGGAGCATATGGCCTCAAGATCTTCCAAGCCGGGCCTCCCCAAAATTGCGTTGTGAGCACATTTCAGGCGGACCACGACGAACGTCATCCAGATGCGGGCGGTGTGAGGTCCATCCCCGATCTCCACGGGGAGGCCGATGGTGCCCTCCGCATCGATGCAGTCCCCTGTGAAGCCGGAAAGAGGGGTGCGTAGGGGGCCCAGCTGATCCTTCCTCAGCTCCATTCCTTCGAACGCCTCCCAGTAGAGGATGTTCACGCTGCTCCCAGTGTCAACAAGGACGCGGCGGACGATCGCATTGTTGATATCCATGCTGATCACCAACTCATCCCTGTGCGGGGCCGGTGACATTGGCAGGTCGGCCGGTCCAAAGGTGATGGCCTCCACTTTGTTCCTTTTAGTGGGGGGAGCTGATATGGAGCCCACATAGAGGGATCTCTCAAACTTCTTCCGCTCAGCAGGTGTGTCCCCAGTCTGAGCACCCCCGAAGATCACCTTGATCTCCAACTTCTTCTTTCCGCCGTTCGGGCCGAGGGACCCCTCCGGACGTTTATCAGCACTTCGATAATCTACGTCCTTTGGTTCAGCCTCGCGCCGATCGTCGCGACGCCATGTTTGTGACCTCGGATTCAGCTGCCTTGGGCTATTCTTCTTCAGTAGCTGGGTGAACTCGCCCAGGTAGCCCTGCCGGACCAGCTCGTCGATGGCCATCCTCAGCTGTTTGCAGTTGTCGGTGAGGTGGCCGATCCTCTGGTGGTACTCGCAGTACGCGGTCTCATCAAGACCCATAAGCGCCTTCTTGTCTTGGGGCTCCCTCAGGAGGCCATTGTCTTTGATGGCGTCGAAGATCTGGTCCACGGGGTAGGCCAAGGGGACGTGATAATCCCCTGGACGCTCGTGGCTTGCCTCAAGGTGGGCCTTCCATGGAACCATGCCTCCGTCCGTCTTCTGCCTTTTGCTTTTGGGGGAGGGGCCGCCTCCGGGGCCGAGCCTGTCTGACAGCTTCCGGGAAGGGGCCGCCGGCGCGCTGTCCCTCAATCTGATCTCCTCTTCAATAGAGGCATACTTCTGTGCCCGAGCTAACACCTCGGTGTAGCTGGTGCTGGGGTTCCTCCGGAGGTCCCGGTATAAGTCCCCCGTTGCCAAAGCGCTGGTGAACATGTTCACTCCCAGCCGCTCGTCTAGGTTGTCCACCTGGAGCATTTCGTCTCTCCATCTGACCAGAAATTTGGCCAGAGGTTCGTCCTTCCCCTGCTTCACACTGGTGAGCGATGTGAAGCTCTTCTTGGGGGTGGTGCTGGCGGCGAACTGCGCCATGAACTGCTGAGACAGCTGCTCGTAGTTGTCAATGGATCCGGGTCTCAGCTGTCCGAATCACTCCTGCGTCGGGCCCCTCAAGGTGCTGAAGAAGAGCCGGCAAATGGCCTCATCGGATGCTCCCAGCATGGAGAGGTTCCCCTGGAAGCTGATCAAGTGAGCCTTGGGATCTCCGGTCCCATTGTATATTATTCCTCCGGGCGGTCTGCAGTCCCGCAGGATCTCTGCATTCATGACCCTCGGAGTAAATGGTGAGGTGAGGGAGAAACGAGGCGTAGCCGGGGTGGCCTCCGCCCGTTTGTCCATCTCGGCTATTCGCCGCTCCATTTCCTCTAGCCGGGCCTCCTGTGCGGCCCTTCCGGGGGACACAGGAGGGGCGGCCTCGAGCACAATGTTCCTTCGTGGGGCAACCGCGTCGGGTTGCCTTCGGGTAATATGGACGCCTTGCCTCTGGAAGCGTCGTCCGATATTACTGGTAGCGGGGGTGACTGCCGTACTCCGTTGTCCTGAGGGAACGTCCGGCGTGCGCCCCCGATGATCGTCCTGCCACCCATAGCGGGGGGTGCTGACACTGGTGTGCCCCCTGGCCCCGTGGGAGGACGGATTTTGGCCCAACCTCGCGTGGACAGGCGTCCGACGCCCAGCAGATTCCGCTGTCTCATCCAGGGACTGCATGTGGTGGATTGGTGATATGGGCGTTCAGATGGTGTTAGCCGAGTACACCTCCTCATCCGCCTCCTGTTCGTCCGCCATTCGGCGCATAGTTT